CTGGAAGTGTCCAAGACCAGGTTGGATGGGGCTTGGAGCAACCTGGGCTGGTGGGAGGTGTCCCTGCCCATGGCAGGGGGTGGGACTTGGGTAGTCTTTAACATCCCTTCCAGGCCAAACCATTCCATGATTCTGTGGTTGTATTTAGATGTGAAAATCACTGTGACTGATGGAAATGGGAGCCCCCTGAGCCCTCCAGGGAATATGCTGTTAGGCATTAACATGGATTTCAGTTGCAGCTCTAACCCTGTGCTGCCCCAGAGCTGAACCAGTCCCAGTTGTCACTGCCCTCAAATCTCCTGCCCTGGAGGGACCTGCTGCTGTGGGGCCTGGGCTCACCTGCACGCCGGTGGGCACCAGGATACTCCCATTTCCTGGCAGAAGAAGGAGGAATTTGGCCATATATTTCTTCAGGATCCTGTGGGATGCTCCTCTTCTGCAGCAGCCACTGTGTGATCTGTCAGAGAAACCTTTGGCCCTGTAGTGAGGACAACGTGTGAAACTGCTTCCTCTCAGCATCTGATAAAGGATGGGTGATACCAAAAAAAATATCTGGTGTTCCTGTAGGATTGGGAGTTGTGTGGAAGAGGAGGAGGCCAGAGTAGGTCCTGCTGGCTGGTGACACCCTGGGAAGGCTGTGGGCCATGGCCTCTGCACCCTCTGGGCCCACAGCAGTTGCTGATGTAATTAAAGATCTAGACACTCAGATAGCTGTAAGTAAAACGGGGCTGGCATGTGGGATTTGCCCTGGGAACCTGCTCATCACACAGGTTTTGTGTCCAGGGATCTTGGCAGCACACGGAGGGTGCGGTAAGATCCTGGAATAAACCAGCAAAACCACTTTGTGCTTCTTCCTGAGGGTTCTGGGGCTTTCTGCCCCGGGGTTTGGGTGCTCCCTGCCCTGCATGGTGGGCAGGAATTCGTGCTGGGTGGATTTGGGAAGTGAGGAGTGGGGTAAACAGCCTGAGATGAGCTCCAGCTAAAACCGAGACTGGAGGTCCCTCCTGGTCTTGTGCTGAGCTCCTCGGCCCCAAGTACAGCTGAGGGGGTTCAGGGTGTGAGTGCCCTGGTTTTCCATCATTAATCCAGTTAAAACTGAGCTGGAGGCTTGCTGAGGGCAGTGCAGGAGGGTGTCTGGGGTATAAATCCATGTCTGCAGGTGCATGAGTGTGCCTTGGAGTGAAGCACTAAAGCAGCTGCCTCTGAGTGTTCCTGTGTGCTTTCTGGTGTGGGTTTAACTAATCCAGACTAACCAGGCTTGCTCTGATGAGGGGGAAATGTCTGTTTGTGGCTCAGGGGGCAGACACTCTGTGTGAACGTCCTGTAAAGCTGGTTAAACAGACTATTCTTTTGTAAGTTCAGCCCCAGCTGCTGTTTTCCACCCACCTCTGTCCCTTCCACAAGGGGCTTTGCCGTCAAACCATTCCCTGAACTCTCCTTCCCTGTGAGAGGCCCATCCCTGCTGCCTGTGGTGGGAGGTGCAGGGTTTGCATGAGTTTCCTGTCATGGAGCAAAGTGAGGACAGAGCAAAACTTCACCCAGCCTGGGCTTTAGAGCCTCCCAGCTGTGGAACAGAGGAGGAGCTGGTCAGTCTGTGACCAAGAACCTGAGAAACTTCAGGCACCTGGAGGATCTGTGTAACCACAGCCCACTTCTGGTTCACCTTCAGGAGCTCCATAAATCCCAGTCCTTTTCCTGTGGCTGTTGGTTGCCCAGTGCAGGAGGAACGATGGGCAGGTGTGGGCACACACACACACGTGTTCCTGCCCCTCTGAGCTCCCAGACTCTGCTCTCAGCCCCCAAAATGGACCTGCTGGTGTCAGTCCCACGTGGAGGGGTCGCTGCAGGCTGGGCTGGCAGCCTGGTGCTGCCAAAAATGAGACTCCAGGGAGGCTGAGCCCTGCCTTCTCCTGAGACCCCTGCAGTGTGGGGATGAGGGATCCTGTGCTGCTGCACTTCAGTCTGCTCTGTGTGGCCTGTTCCTCAAAGCTGGCTGTGGGAAGTGGGCTCAGGAAGGCCCTGAGTGGGGTGGGAGTGGGGGGGTTCAGCCCGAGAGGTGAGGGGGTGGGTGGGTCAGTGCTGCTGTCACTGGCCTGTGCTTCTGGCAAACTTCATTTTCCACACACCAGGGAAGGTTTTCTCGTCTACTTAAACATCACTTCTCCCTTCTTGCTGTGTCCAGAGACTCCTGATCTTCTATAAACTCCAGTTTTCTCAGGACAAAGACCTGTCCACCCCACTGAACTCCCTGTCTGCCTCTAACCCTGGCTCTCCTTTCCTTTCCCAGTTGATTGGTTTGGGTCCCCACAATCCCAAGAAGAAGCAGGACCTGGACAAGCTTTATGACCTAAAATCTAAAGCCCAGCAGATTATGAACCAGTTTGGCCCTTCTACCTTGATCAACCTCTCCAACTTCTCCTCCATCAAGCCAGAGCCAGCCAGCACCCCTCCCCAGAGCTCCATGGCCAACAGCACCACCGTGGCCAAGATGCCTGGAACACCCAGTGGAGGGGGCAGGCTCAGCCCTGAGAGCAACCAGGTAATTCCATCCCTGACTCCAGGACAACAGGGATGATGCTCAGTCCTGCCCCTGGCTCCTTTCTCCCTCCTTAAATCACCAGCAAATACTTTGTGTCTGTTAGAGTATCAGTTACTGAGTGAGCAGAACTTCTTCCTGGAGTTCTTCCAGCTGCTTCCAGGCCGGTGGAATGGATGCTGTGGGTTTTGCAGTCTCAGGAAAATGTATATTGGGGGAAAATTCTTTTTAAATGGGGTTTAGTTGGGAGGAATTTTGGGGGGAAATGGGTGGTGAGGCACAGGTTGCCCAGGGAAGCTGTGGCTGCCCCATCCCTGGAAGTGTCCAAGGCCAGGTTGGACAGGGCTTGGAGCAACCTGGGCTAGTGGGAGGTGTCCCTGCCCATGGCAGGGGGTGGAATAAGGTGGGTTTAAGGTCCCTTCCAGCCTTTGGAGGCTTTGATGTGCATGAAACAAGCTGCTGCCCTGGGATTGCTCCCTTATGGCTTCACTGGGGCTCTCAGGAATTGCACCAGACCCCCCCACAAACACAGGCACAGCAGCGAGGGAACCAGGAAAGGCAGGAATTTCCCACCTGTGCCTGGATCACCCGAGCAGGCTGACAACTTCCATGCAGATCTTTTAAGACTCAGCATCCTGTTGGTCAAGCCCAGTGTGGTTTTTGCTCCCTGCCACGTTTGGCTGCTGCCCTGGGATAACCCAGCACTCACCTATCTCTGTTTTCCATGAGAAGCACTAAAGCTGATAAGCACTAGAGCCATGGAAATACTTCCCTCGTGCCCTGAGCACAGCTTTAGTCACTGATATGTTGCTTACACTTGCTCTCTTCCTCTTAAAAGTTGTAGTTTTGCTTTTCCCCCCACCCTTGCCAGCAGCATTTTGGTGCCAGTTCGGTGCTGGAGATATTTATCCTGGCTGCTGCATTCCCCTCTCTGCCCAGAGCAACCCCTGGTGCTCCAAAATGACTCCTTAACACCTGATATTCCTTATCCCTGCCATTCCTGAGGTGATAAACTGTGTCAACAGTGTGACTCAGGCCCTGGGAGCACAGGGGAGGGGGTGTTTGTGGCAGTGCTGCTGCTTTGCTGGAGCAGGGCAGTAAATCCTTCTTCCCCCACACCCTCAGGTTTTAACCAAGAAGAAATTGCAGGACCTGGTGCGTGAGGTGGATCCCAACGAGCAGCTGGATGAAGATGTGGAGGAGGTGGGTACCAACCCACGGCAGGGGCTGCAGAAAGAGCTAATCTGGG